TGTGTGTGTGTGTGTGTGTGTGTGTGTGTGTGTGTGTGTGTGTGTGTAGACGACCAAAGTTGAAATCGAAGAAACTGTTGTCATCCAGGAGGTTTCCAAAGCAACCAAACCTGGACTTGTCACCATTGCGACCAGCTGTGCTGATGATGCTTCACCTGCAGAGGAACAGGAAACACAAGAGGAAAGAGTCAGAGCTGAAGAGGAAGTAGTGGCAGCGGAGGAAGCGTCAGAGAGGATGACAGAAAGCGTTTCGTCTGAGAGCGAGAGCGAGGATGAGGCAGAGTACCACGCAGACATTTCAGTTTCCATCTCTCAAACACAAATACCAGAGGAGATGGAAGAGGAAGTGGAGCTAGAGGAGGAAGATGAGGATAAGGGAGTGGAGGAGCAGGTTTCAGCTCTGGATGCTCCTTCCCTTCCAGCTGAGGTCAGCCACCCTACAGAAGAAACCATCGCAGAAGAAGAACAGTTCATAATGGAGGAGACAGATGTAGAAGAGGAGAAAGGGAGCGAGCAAGAGGTGGAAGAAAGTACAGAAGATCCCATGGTGACTCCTGACGAAGCTCCTGACAGTCTCCCCCCACCTGAGGAGAACAGGGTGGTGACTCCCAAAGAAGAGGAGGAACCTAAAGTGAACGGTGAAGCCTTGCTGGTTGAAGTGGAGCCACGGCCGCAAGTTATTTGTTGCTCTGAGGTAAAGTCTTCACTGATCCAGCTGCGGAGCTTCCCTGGGGTTTGGTCCCTCCTGCCAGCTGTAGAAACATACACCCTCCTTCTTTTCCTGCTGCTTCTCACCATGCCCGTTTCTTACCTGCTTATGTGAAAACTTTAAGCCCCATGTACATCAAAAGATAAACTCTTTAAGACAAATCAAAGTAGTGTAATCAGACGATGAAGCACCAGTGTTTTGGTGTGTTTGTGTTCACAGCTTCATTCAGTCATATTCGTTTTTTATTTACGTTTTCACGTTTCAGACCATTGTCAACACGACTAGTGCCAGTGTGGTGTCGCTGTCGCCTATTTATCATCCTGTTTTTGTGTTGTGAAGTAAATGGGGCCTAAGTAGGACATGCACAATGCTTTCAGGTGCACGTTATTTTTGCTTTGCATGCCGATTTTTGCCTGTATTGTTTCTGTGTTAGTTGCCTGTGACCAGATTGTGTTTGTCAGTGATAATTCTCCTTTTTGCTTTTGTTGGAATCATCACTGCCAACCACTTTAGAAATGCCACCCACTCATCCCGAATGTTGCCTTGTTTACGTTTCAATAGCTGCTTTGTTTTCCAGTCATCTGAGTCACGCTGGTTTTATTGGCTCATGTTTTATGCAGGTTTTTGCTGTGCTGTGTTCTGAGCTGGCACCAAAGAGTTATGTGTTCGGGCTGCTGCTTTAGTGTTTGCTTATTTTGTGTTAGGTAAACGTTTTTATATTGGATTTGCATGATGTTGCATGAGTTTACAAGTTCTTGCTTTTGCGCATGACTTTTATTGTTTATACATGTATATTTGTACCACTAAACCACCTTTATTTAGTATTTTATTCTCTTTAATATCTGCAGTTATTTGTGTTAAATTTAATATATTAACTGCCTATCCTATCCCCCCTCACTCCTGTCTCTCCCCCCTCCCCAGCCGCCTGTGGTAAAAACAGAAATGGTGACTATATCAGACACGTTCGCAGCCCAGAAAACTGAGATAGCTACAAAGGAAGTTCCCATCGTACATACGGAAACCAAGACCATCACATACGAGGCTGCTCAGGTGCACACTCAAGAAGCCCCGGGAACTTATTTTGATTATTTTAAATCTTCCTTACATGTGTCATGATTCCAAAATGAAACGTGAAACATTTAATGTTGTTTTAAAGGTTGTTGCTAATGTTGCTCATACCAAAGTGCTTTCTTTTTTTAGCAGCATTGCATTGCAACAGTTGCCCTTTCATCAGCAGTAACTGTAATGAGACGGTGCTGATCCTTGTTTTTGTCTTTCTGCTGTTAGCTGGACAGTAACGGAGACGGTGAGCCTGGAGTGCTGATGACTGCTCAGACAATCACCTCAGAGTCTTTGTGCACGACCACAACCACACACATCACCAAGGTACGCAAACCCACAAATCTCAGCATCACGACTCCTCGCCGTCATTTAAATACTGCGCTGTTTAAAACCTCTGCAGACTTCATCACTGTCTACGTCAACATGTTTTTACTCCTTTGGAGAGCTGCAAATGAGCTGAAAGTTCCTGGGAAGTTTTCCATGGATGGAAGTAATTCAAACTAAATATAAATGTTTTGTTTTGCATTAAACCAATAATAAGTTGGACCCAAAGTTTACAACAGTAACAAACTTAACAACCTAATTTGCGCATATTGACATCACAGAGTCACAACCACACAAAGTTTGAAGAACAATCGCTTTAACAACTTTACATTTCTTCCTTGTAGATAATGTTGTAATCCTTTTCTAAATTCATAAACAGAATGTTGACCAAAAAGAACAAAAAATACAAGAACAAAAAATACATGTCTCATCTGTCCCAACATGTCTCATCTGTCCCTACATGTCTTATCTGTCCCTACGTCTCATCTGTCCCTACATGTCCAGGTTAAATAAATTATCTTTTCAGGGTGTGGTACCTCCTCTCGTTGCTTGGTACAGCAATTTCTCACTGGCTCTCTTAACGAGGCGCACGCGTTTCTTCCCGCTCCCTGTTCTCCTCCTGCTTTTTTGCTCTCTGTCTGTGTATCGGATCAGCTCCTATTTTTACACATCGTCCAAAATGAAAACTACTGTTTTGGATCTGACCAACTAGACTTTTGACGCAAATGACAAAATCTTTTCAAGAAAGCGACAGGGTCCTGGAGAACCCTCATGTTGCCCGGACGACACGCATGCAGCTGGATAAATCTCTGGGGAAGTGGAATGTGATGTGTCTATTTCTGCTATCGATTGAGGACACCGAAATTGCATATAATTGGATTTATGATAACAGGTTTCCTGTTTTTGGAATTGTCAATCCCGGTTTATCAACATACAACGAAGACGGCCGCAGCTAATTTGGACCTCATCAGGCTGCTGCCTATGTGAAGGTTTGGTTCGTGCTTTGAGGACTCAAAATCAGCTGATTTTCGAGCGAAACCATAAGTTGGAAGTGATTTGAATCGCATGCCACCTGCGGCTTTGGTACTCGTCAGCATGAAAACGACCTTGAAGAGGCTCGTAGCACGGACCAGTAGAATGCACCCTAATCTGGCCATTTCGGACCTTGGAAGTATCAGTAAAGACTCAAGGCTGACAAGAAAAAATAGTCTGCCTGAATAAATCAACATTTGTGGTTTTATCTGAATCTGACTCCCTGGTTGGCCTCAAAACAGGCTGATTATCAATTTCTCCTGGAAAATGTGTAAACTAAGGAAAAGTGACCCCCCCCCCCCCTCCTGTGGAGGCTTATCAGAACTGTGCCAGCTGACCATCATCTCATTTTATCAGGACAATGGACTATCTCTTTAGTGCTTCATGGACCGCCTTGTTGTCCAATATGTAATGTGTTCATAAATGTGCTTGCTGGCAGAGTTTTTTTAATGTCTTAAATCGTGTTCTGTTAGGACAAGGTGTGAAGCGATCTTTTTTGTAATGCCGCTATCCTCTCCTCATGGCTTTATCCCTTTTTCCATCTGAAAAATGTATTCTGAAAAGAATAAGAAGGCCTCTGTTTTAGCTGGTAGAACTCAGCTAATTGGGTGCCTAATTTCCTTGTTATTCTGTCGATTAGTCTATAAAAATGGTCATAGTGTGCAGTGCGGGCTGCTCAAACAGATAAGGAAAGAAACCAAACTTGTCCTTTTATCACATACCCTTTGATGAGGACTGAAAACGGCAATGGATGGCAGCCATCGACCGTAAGGACTGGCAGCCCTCGGTATATTCACGAATTTGCAGTGAACACATTTTACAAGGTAAGATTAACGTTCATATACTTTATAAGTAATATTTGTAAGATTTAATAAACTATTGCAATATGGAGAAGGAAAATATCCCACCATCATGAAAATGAATACAAATAACATAAGAAAATAAGGTATAAGAAAAACATTTCCTGCTTTTTTTTAATATAAAATTTATTAAACTAATACAGTAGGTAATGTATATATGTCTTAGAACAGGGTAAAGTACTTTCAGTGACAATATAAAGTGTTTTCTGTATTTTTTTAACCTCAATTGTCTCAGCAGGCTCACCAGATGACGCCTGGTTCTGGTTAATAAAACTTGGCACGCTTTACTAATAAGACAACAAGACATTTCTGAAGGCATCTAGATTACTGGCATAATAGAAGAGTTTAAGAGTTTACCTTGCATGACCTTGTCGGCGGCTGGATAACCGCCAGGTCCCGCGCAAGGGGAATACTCTTCCATAAGAGCAGCACATAACAGGCGGTAATCCTTTCTTGTGGCATCAGGTTGACGCTCTATGAAGGAAAACACCGTCCTGGTTGAAGTGAGCCTGATCAAACCTACTTTATCCTCAACTGTAGCGTTGGGATAGCTTCTTAACTGGAAGTCAAGGTCGTTCAGATAGGCCTTAGTGTCGGTTGAACCCAACGGCCCTGGCTCAAAACTGTTATACTCCTTTTTCAACAGCAGGTGGCGGTGTAAGCTTACTTTTACCGGTAGGAGTCTTATGACAACTTCATGTGAACTGTCCTGTTGACATCCGATTGTTAGCCGTTAGCTCCAATGTAGCAACGGTCGAACACGGTTCAAATCAACGTTTTATGGACGGATTTAAAGCTTTTAACGTGGCTTCTCTGAACAAGCACGCTTAATCTGCATGAAAACATGAGTTTTAGGAACAGTGTCAGGCTTTATTTAGCGTTTTTAAACACAAAGGAAGACTCGGTTAAAATGAGCCTCATTTCCGGGGTCACGTGACTGTTCAGACACATGCACATCGGAGGAGGGCTTTACAATCTGACATCAGAGGGAGTGGACGCACAGAAATACGTCACCAGCTTCTCAGCGAATCAGAACGACCCAAACAGCGGTTCTCAACCAATCACAGCCCTTGTTTACCTGCTCCAAGCTAGTAGTTAGCATCAACAGTCCGGTCAAATTATCGCCCATTAAAACTTCAAAAATGCACATTTTACTGTTAAAAATGTAACAAATCAGCATAAAACAGCATCTGAGGCGCCACTCAGCTTCAAACAGCTTTTCTTCCATTTAAAACACGACTGTTCAGTCCAATAAACAGAACCGGGTCGGACAGCAGAACCTCCCGGTCATGCTAGAGTTTCAAACAGAATAAAGCGTCTTTCTCACTGCATCCAGCTTAGTTACACAAACAGATTGACAATTTTCAGCTTTAACAAGAACACATTGACGTAATTACAGTTTTCTGAACACCACAGCCATAAATCATGCCTGTACAAGTTCAAAACTCGGACCTCCATGTGCCAACATGCAGCGTTATCTCAACAGCACAGATACTCGTGTCACACATAATTTATATCTCTTTAGAAACCTGTTCGGCCACCAAAATGTAGTGTGGGGGTTTAAAGAGGAGAATGGATGAATTTTTCTCTTTAGAGACCCGTACGGAGCCACCAATAACTCTTTAGAGACCCGTACGGAGCCACCAATATGTAGTGGTGGGGGTTTAAAGAGGAGGAATGGGTGAAGAGAAATATATCTCTTTAGAGACCCGTACGGGCCACCAATATGTAGTGGTGTCGAGGACAGCTTTCTGACCCTCCACTACTAATTATTTAAATATAACGGGTTCTCTCTTTTTCGAGTTAAATTTCTGCCATGTGACAAGGTACTGTGAGGATTGTGTTTAAATCAGTGACATGAGACGTTAATTTCCTTTGATTAATCAGAATAAATGTGGCCATTTATTTAACAGAATCAAAATTTAACATCAAAACATGTACACGTGAATAGCTGATCTGGTTCTGATGAATAAAACTTGGCACGCTTTACTAATAAGACAACAAGACATTTCTGAAGGCATCTAGATTACTGGCAAAATAGAAGAGTTTAAAGGAAGGAATGAAGAGAAAAGATGGGAAAAGGGGGTGTCTGTTCGGACCAGGATGGCACGCTTCCTCCAACACCAGCTCAAACCTCCGGTACACTTGGCGCGTCACGACTCGTTACCTTTGCAGAAGATAAATCAGCTCCGGTGTCGGGTCCATTTCAACGCTACCTTCCAGCATCTCCGGCAAGAGCGGCTGGCCATCGTCAGAAGTCGTGTCGTTTACTCCGTTCAACAAACACGCTCAGCTCCCGGGTGGACTCACAGCAAGCTGTGAGTCCGTCAGAGTTTCCACTCAGGTGTGGAAGACTCCACAAGGCGGAGTAGACTGGAAGACTAGACTGGCTAGACTCGACTCGACTTGACCCCAACTCGACTCAGAAGACCGACTAGTTCCAGGAAGTGTGGACTTTTAGAGAGTTCTCACTTTGGTTACTCAGGACTTCCTGATTTGTTGAAACAACCAACAGGGGGTGGTTCTAGTTATGTCAGAGGGTTATTACAAGTCAAGAGGACAGCAGGAATGTTTAGGAACGTTTAGTACAGACAGAGAAATGTTTTGAAGAAGTGAGAAACTTTGCAGGTGCCAGTTGCTCTTATTTACTGTCTGCTAGGTTTAAAAACAATACACTTCGTTCTAATAACTTCTTTCTGACTGTCTCTGACTTTTGACCGACATCACTACTTCTCCTTTAGACAGAAAATCAAAATGCATAATTACTTTGTAAATAGACATTTAACTTGATTTCTAATTTAAACGAGGTATAAAAATCATTAATACTGTTTCACAGTTGATTTAAAATGAGTAGTTATTTCAACTTTAGAAATGATATGAACTAAACACACTTTTGATTTATCAAGATATTGTAAAGTAGTAATGATAATATAAAAAGAAGAGTGTTCTTTCAATTGATTACTTCAGGATACAATTAGACAGTCTCTGGATGAGCTAATTTGTATTTCTGGATTCAAATCAATGAAATAACAGTTCCTGTCCCATGAAGGTCTTCAGAGGCAGGTTTTGGTTGGAGGCCGAGTTCACAACAGTGTAGATGAACAGATG